TGTGTTGGTCTTATCCTGGTATAGTGCTATAAGATAAGCACTGGGCTGCTGCTAACCTCAAGGCCGGCAGTTCAAACCCACCAGCTACTCCTCAGATGTCCTATGCAGGATCACTATGAGTCAGAATAAATTTGATGGCACTTAATAACAACTGGCAGTTCATGGTACATTCAGTATTCTTCACCAATAATGTAATTTAAATGCCTCAATTCTTCGGTCTTCCTTATTCATTATCCTTATTTATTGAAGCGATAGAAAATACCCTGACTTGAGCTGGGTACCCCTTAGTCCTTAAAAGTGAAATCTTTATTTTTCAACATTTTTAAGAGGTCATTTGCCGCAGATTTTTCAATAAAATTCATTGTTTGGTTTCATGACTGCTGTTTCTATGAGTGTTGATGGTAGATCTAAGTACAATGAAATCCATGACTGATGAGGGCTCCCAGCATTGCATGTGTTTGTTGAAACATCTCAGTTGGTTTTCCATCAGTTCCTGGAGACTTGTTTTGCCCAGTGCCTTAAGGGCAGTTCAAACTTCTTTCTTCAATACCATTGGTTCTTAATCATATGCTACCTCTTGAGATAGTTGGTTGAATGTTGACCAGTTATTTTTGGTGCAGTGACTCTGCACATCCCTTCCATCTTCTTTTGATGCTTCCTATATTGTCCAACAATTTTCCCATTGTCATTGTTGTCATTAAGGTCTGTGGAGTTGGTTCTGATTCACAGCAACCCTGTATAGGGTTTCTGAGGAGGGACTGGGGGTTTGAACTGCCAGCCTTACAGTCCAGTGCGTATTCTATAGTGCCACACCAGGACTCCTCTTTTTATCATAGAATTTAATGTTGCAACTTGAAGCTTGGTTTTTTTCCAGTTCTTTCCGTTTGAGAAGTGCCAACCATATTATTCCCTTTGGTTTTCTAACTCCAAGTCTTTGCATATTCAATACTTTACTTTGTCTAATCCACCAGCCATTTGAAATCTTCCATTCAGCATTTTACTTCATTTCTTCCATTTGATTTTGCTAGTTTCTATTCAAGAGCAAGCATCAGAGTCTCCTAACATCCATTTTGGCCTTTTCTTTCTTTCCTGATTTTTGTTGTTGTTGCTAATAACCTTTTACTTTCTTCGTATATGATGTCTTTGATATCCTCCCATAATTGGTTTGATCTTCAATCATTAGTGTTCGATTAGTCAAATCTGATCTTAAGATAGTCTCTAAATTCAGGTGGGATATACTTAAGGTTATACTTTGGCTATCCTGGGATATACTCAAGGTTGGCTCTTGTGGACTTGATTTAATTTTTTTCAGCTTCAACTTGGACTTGTATCTGAGTAACTGATGGTCTGTTGCACAGTTGCTCCCTGCCCTTGTTCTGATTCCTGTGTCATCAGTCCTGCAAGGTCAATGTGTACAGTTGCCGTTTATGTTGTTGATAAGAGCTGTTTGCAGTGAATAAGTCATTGGTCTTGCAAAATTCTATCATGTGATTTCCAATGTTGTTTCTATCACCACAGTCATATTTTCCAGCTACCAGCCCTTCTTTGTTTCCAGTTTCCACATTCCAATCAACAGTAATTATCTATGTATCTTTTTGTTTTGTTTTGTTTTTGTCTATGTATCTTGATTGCCTATTTTATTGGTTTTAAGCTGAAGAAGTTGGTAAATATCTCCAGTTACTTCATCTTTAGCATTAGTGGTTGGTGGTTAAATTTAAATTTAAATAATAGGTATATTAGCTGGTCTCCCTTGTAGTCATATAAATATCACTTTAACCTAAATTATGTTAGCTTATCACTAGCAGTATTATACATACTTCAGGATAGATCTTGAAATATTCTTTCCAGCAATGAATGGGATGTTATTCTTCTTCAGTTTGTCATTCTTGGCATAGTAGACCATATACTTGTCTGATTCCAATCCAGTTCAGCTTACTAATGCCTAAGATAATGCCTAAACTTCATGTGTCCCATCTTATTTTTGATGACTTCCAATTTACTTAGTTCAAACTTCATACATCCCACTTTGGATTATTAATGGGTGTTTGCTGCTGTTCCTTCTCATTTTGCATCATTCCCCATCAGCAAATGAAGGCCCTGAAAGCTATACTCCATTCACATCATTAAGGCTGACTCACTTTGAGGAGGTAGCTCTTTTCCAGTCCTATTCTGAGTGCCTTCCAACCTGAAGGGCTTATCTTCCAGCACTATATCTGACAGTGCTCCACTGCTCTTCATAAGGTTTTCAGTAGCTAACTTTTTTGAGAAGGAGTCTTTCTTCCTAATCTGTCTTAGTCTGGAAGCTCAGCTGAAACCTGTCCACCATGGATGATCCTGCTGGTATTTGAAATACTGGTGGCATAGCTTCCAGCATTCCAGCAACACAACCAGCCATGGTACAACAGACTGTCAGACAAGTGGTGAAAGTATAGATTAATATAGATTAGTATGCAATTAAACTTCTTCTATTTTCCAGAAAATATAATAGTTATTATTGCATAGATAATAACATAGTGCCATACTATATAAACCCATAGTGACCCTGTATACGGTTTCCAAGGAGCAGCTGGTGAGCTTGACTACCGGCCTTGTAGTTCATACAGCTTTGCAGTCTAATGCGTTAGGCCACAGCGCCACACCAGGACTCCTTAATCAAGTTACGGCAAGAAAAAATGAGAAGCCGAGGCCCAGATTGGTACCTCTGACATCGTTCTTCATGTTTGCTCATCACAGCATAACTAAATACTGGCCTTCTTTTGTGTGTTGAGGATGATTGACTAATTATTTATGGTGCTTACAACCACATGAGGTCCCTGGGTGACCCAAACAGTTTGTTCTTGGCTGTTAGCCTAAAGGTTGGCAGTCTGGACCCAAAGTCCTGATGATCTGTTTCCATAAAAATCCAAGCTAAGAACACATGATGGGGTTCAGTTATAGTGCTGTGGGTCGGAATCAACTTGATGGCAATGGAGTTGGCTTTCGGGGTTTTTTTTTTTGCAACAGTATAAACATGTGCGGAAGGGGAACTCTAGACTGATTTATCAGCTTCAGCGCTATTGACATTTTGGACTGATGATTCTTTGTCGTGGGGAGCTGTTCTGTGCATTATAGGATGTTTAGCTACACACCTGGTCTCTCCCCACTAGATGCTGTGACAATCAAAAATGTCTCCAGATAGCCAAATCTCCCCAGGGGGAAGAGGGAAGAATTGCCCCAGGATAAAAAGTACTTCTCTAAACTGGGTCTTGACTCTCAATGATTTTTCTTAATTTTTAAATTATTCCTCAGTAGAGGTTAAGGAGCTCTGGTAGCGTAATGGTTACGAATCAGACTGCTAACCTCAAGGTCAGCTGTTCGAAACTACCAGCTGTTCCGCAGGAAAAAGATGAGGCTTTCTGCTCGCGTAAAGATTTACAGCCTCGGAAACCCTGTGCAGGGTCACTATGAGTCGGAATTGACTCCACGGTACTTAACAACAACAACAGAAGTTAAGGTTATTCATTATATTTTTCTCAGCCTGGCTCCTTGTTAGTAATCCTTTCTCTTGTTCCACATACTATTTTATTTGAATATAAGTGATTGTAACCCACCATTCTGAAGTATGCAAAGATCTCCATTCCCTTGACTCCTGTAGGTTTGATCTACCCTCTGGAATTCCTCCCCTGCTGGATATTTTTATAAATAATTTAGGGGGAGAAAGACAAGACCTCTAAAAGAGATAGGCATTTCCAGCTCTTATAAATATGATAGCCTGCAAGAGGTGCTCAGGAACTGAAAGAATGAACTCTCTCTTTCTTGCTTTCCTGATGCGTTTGCTGAGTAGCTGTGGGTAGGCAGGTGGGCAAGAGGCCAGGTAAGGACTCCACACCACCAGGTTGTGATGCCAGGGAAAGTTGTGTGACTTTCGTGTCTTTCTGCTGTGTGGGAACTTGGGGCCAGGACCTCCAAACTTTGCAGATGCACTCAAAACACAAGCTGGAAGAATGATCCCAAACCACAGACTCAGAGAAGGAAAAGCCCAAATTTAGGAGTGAGAGACTTGCGTTCAATCCTGGCCCTACACATCATTAATTCCAGGACAAGTTCTTGATTTCTGTAGGCCTCAGTTCCTTTAATGATAAAGTTGAGCAGACTCCAACTCAGTGGGTTTTCAAATGGCTGGATTTTTTGGCATTAGGTTATCTGATCTCTCTTGTGAGGCACTTCTGGGTAAACCCAAAACTCCATCTTTCAGTTAGTAGCACCTCTCAGAGACTCCTATTGGTAAGTGTTGTTGTTGTTATTAAGTGCCATCGAGTAGGTTCTGACCCAAAGCAACCTGTATAGGGTTTCCAAGGAGCAGCTGGTGAGCTCGAATCACTGACCTTGTGGTTCAAAGTGACCTTGCTGTCCAGCACATTGAATCACAGTGCCTCACCAGGATGGCATGACAATACTTAGATCACAGTAGCTCTGATTATTAGAGAAAAATGTATATTCAAAGCACCTCACCTGGCTTTGAATATACTTGGTATATATACTTGGAATATACTTGACTTTGAATATATTTGAATATATTTGGTACACAGTAGTTGCTATATAAGTAGTAGATATAAGCAATAGTATTCCTTTCCTGAAATGATTCCTGAAAGAAATTAGGGCAGCAAGACTAGCTCCTGGTCTGAGAACTCAGAAGACTCTAGATCAGTGCTATTCAAAGTATGTTCCTTCTCTCAACACTGTCACCAGTTTCCAAAGATACAAGGACTTTCACCTAAATATAAATCAGTTATGCCACTAGGCACACTGTTTAGCTCAGCTGGTAGTTTTTTCCCCATTGTAAGACGTTCTTGATGAAGACAGTAGTGGGTTGATTTACCTTCTGTGAACTGGTTTGTGGAGTGCCCTTGGAATATAGCACCGCTTTAGGTCTTGGCTGTGGGAACCACCTTCCATTCATGTTCTCATTCCTATTTGCCTTCCATTTAAAATCTCTATGCAGACTGTTCTGCCAGCAACCCTGCTCAGGCCCAGCTGCGACAGGAGCTCAAGACTGACCTCCAGATAGCTGAGAAATTCACCAAGCACTACGATGAATTGCTCAAGTCCTACCAGCAGCAGATGTTCAACACCTCCGCCCTGTTGAGCCAGCTGAACCAGCAGTTTAGCTGGTTGTCCCAGCTAGCTAACCACACCCAAAATGAAGAACAAGCTTATCTCCAAGTCATCTCGGTGAGTTCTGTCCCCACCACACACTGACGGAATAGCATCTCTTATTGTCTCTCTGTATTGCACCTATTTTCAAGGTCCAACTTCTTTGATAAAACCTTTGCTGAGCATCCCACAAAGTAGTGAATATATTTTCTTCTCTAGCATCAGTTTGGAACCCTGGTGTGGCACAGTGGAATGATGCACTGGAC